AAAAAGAAAGAAAGTTAACACACTACAAGTAAAATAAGGAAATTTTTCTATGAAAGATGACGTGTTACGCTTTGGTTAAAAGTTTTTCGCCTAAAAACATGAATTAATCCCAAACTCCGTCGTTTTTAAAAAAATAAACTTTAATTAACTACACAAAGAAAAAGAAAAGTCATATTAAAAACATTAAAAAAATCAAATCCTATTCCACAATGGCAAGCGATTAAAATAATGTTAAAATATGCATTTTACATCCAACTTAATTGTCCTCATGTTAATCTTATTAAAACAATTGTCAGAAATTAAATAAAAGTTAAGGTATCCCAACAATGGACGTCTCCGGACCAAGAACTAGTTTACATTACACGAATAACGCGCAATATCATAATGAAATCTTGGTCACGCTTTCATTACCAAATCGATCAGTCTCGTCATGTGTAATCGCCATACTGCGAGACTAAACAATGTATACGTATGTGTATACAACCCAAGTTCCAATGATCATACATCATTTAGACAGGTAGAAAAGTGACACTAAACATGCATATATTTTCATATTACGTAACAATGATTCTGTTTTTGTTTCTTCAAAATATTTAGAAAAGAAAATATTGTGATAATATGGGTGGCTTATATAAAACAGAAAAATGAGGTAGCCTTGTAGCGGTACTGATACATGTATGTGACCAGGTTACTATGAGTAATAAAAGTCAAAAATAAAAACCTAGTCAGCTGACAGCTCGGCACTTTTGAGTTTCTTACGTGGCAGCATTTGTAGCAAAGGTGACATTGTCATTTTTTTTTTCTTTTAGTCCAGTATTTTTTAGAAATATACATTCTTTGAGAAAAATGTAAACGAACAATAAATAAGACGATCACCTTAAACTCCAAATTATGACAACTAGCACGTTGATAACAATAGAGGCCTAATTAAAATGATTTGATTTGCAACACAACTTGTTTAACTCTGTTGTTTTCAAATATCATCAAGTAGAGAGATCATCAATTGCCTAGAATTGGGGGCGGTCGAATGTTAGGTACAATAAATTCATAGCCAAAGGAAGATTATTATTATAGTAGCATATGATACACTGCCCTCGATCGAACTCCATCCCGCAGAACCATATACATATTTGGATCTTCTTGAATTTGGCCCACAAATTTTTTTTGGCATTTTTCAAGTGAATTGAAAGCTTTCAGTATGCTGTTTTTGGACTTTGGTCAATCCAATGTAAACGCCACCAAACGGGTGTGTGTGTGTGTATGTGTTTAGTTGATCGCCCTTAATCTCAAGGTGAAAATAAGGATAAGGACAATTATTAATTAAGGGGCCAATGAAGCCAAACTAGGGTATCATTTTCAGCCGAAACTTTTGAGGATTATATTATATATATGATGAAGGACGTATAGTTAAGAAGGTATTCATCCCTCTCAAAGAGGAGTGACAAATTAATCAATAATTAATACTCTTTTCCGTTCTATATTTCGCATTCTCATACTTATTCTATCCCAAAATTATTGTCCAATTTAAATTTTTATTTTTAATCTAATTTGTACTAAAAAATAAAGATTCAAACTAGATAATAATATCGGGACGGAAGGAATATTATTTTTGGGGAGCATGGAAGGCGTACACATATATTTATCTGTAGCAAGAATGGTCCATTTCTTAGGATAAAAGATTTAAAACTTATGGAGCGCGCAACAATATCTTCTGCAGTGTTCCTTGTTCCGTGAGTTTTTCATAGCTTATTGTTTAATCTTGTTAGGAATTTCGATCCGACAGATAAGGCAGAGAGTTTCAATATTGAGCCCAATAAATAAATAAAAATCCATTTTAACTTAAAATTTCAAGATGATAAATTTTGGGATCAACTTATTTATTGCCAATATGACATAATTAACCTACTCATCATCTCAACGTTTCTTTTATTTCAATTTTCACATGCGATTGTAACTAAAAAGTTTTTTTTCCCTTTTGTTACAAGGAAAGATTTATAATCCTTGTGTTTCGATCACAACTCAATTCTAAGCACTGAAAGATTCCACTAGTCAATGAAAATAAATAAATATATAATTGTAGCAAAATTCAGCTTACCACATGTATGAGATCCTTAATCCATTTTTTTTTTCAGAGTGATCATATTCATAAAGTAACATTGATACAACGTATAAAAAAGGTTACGTGGTTACTTCAATCAATCAAAGTTACCAAGAACAAACAAAATTCTTCGCTGCGACTCGCTAAGAATCACTAATAATTTCATATACTACTATCGACAAATATGATTTGGGTTCAAGAATCTAAAAGTTGAATTATAGGCGAAAAAAGGAAGAAAAAAAAACATTAAAGTTCATAAAGAAAAAAAAAAGACGGCTACGAAATGATAACGTGTCGAGTTAATGTTGAAGAAAGGAGGTCCCGAAAATACAATACAAAAGTAAAGACTGTGACATTAAGGATGGACGGATTCCATGCACACAAAGAAGTTTCTAATAACATCTGGTAGTTTTTATTGCATGCAATTTCACCGTATCCAGCAAATCCTGGGCATCCACGTCAATTAGGTTAGATGGCACAAAAAATACGAAACGTGCTTTCTGACCTATGCAAAATTTTACTCTCCTTTTCTATTTTCTTCAACATAACCTTTTTTGTATTGTAACTCCAACATTGATAAGTATTGGCAAATTCATTCAGTGATGACATTATTTACTAAATCATACCCTCTCTATCCTAAAATTATTATCCAATTTGAGATTTCGTTTATATTAGTGCAATTTGAACTAGAAATGAAAACCCAAACTGGACGATAATTATGGGGACGTAAGAATTATGTCATATGTGATATGCTTAATCATTGTTAAACTGATCATTGTATTTTATTATTTTTCTGATGTACATGGTAATTGGTAATTGATGTTATCGGTTGAATCATTTTTCGAGATTAAATTAGTAAGAGTAAACACTACTCAAGAAAGTGTGTGTGTGTTTGGTTTTTTTTTTTTTTTTCTTTTGACATCATTGCATGCCTCACAGGCTCACACACAGATACGCACAAACACACGACTTCTCACCAACAAATCCAAACTCGATTTAGCAAACAAGAAACTAACTGAAGATCTCTCCTTACATCATCACCACTTTACATCATCGAGCTCATCAGCAAGTTGAGCCTAAGACCTTTCTGAAATTGCACAATAAGTATAAAAAAAAATTTAAAAAAATACTATTTAACATGTATGTCGTGTGGAAGGACGTACTACATTTATATAGTATTGGTAATGAATTATCAAATTGGTTGGAACTTGGAATTAATTTCCAAAAGTGAATACTTTCTTGCTTAAAATGTGTTCTTATAAAAGCAAGATTCATGGCCAGAAGCAGCAGCAACATCGATGCAAATCTCAACCAACAACAACATAAAAGATTCTAATGTTTTGGCATGCAAAAATTTTGAGCCATTAACGTGGCAAAATCGAACACCATCAATTAGGGTTGAATATTACATCAATCATTAAAAAAAAACACTAGAATTGATATTTGAATTGTTTGGACGAAGTTGAACCACAAATTAGAAAGAGGGTATACGACAATATTGCCTTTTATTTTCTTTTCGGTACCTTTTCATTTTTATTTACAAAGAAAAGTTCATGCTTAGACTTCAGCGCAAACAGGCTGCAGCCTCCATAATATATAACAGCTATAATGTTTGTATATCTAACCTCTCAAAAATGGTCAAATTTGATAAAATAACGTCCAATGCATTCCACATGGTAAAAGCTTTGACGTCGATCCATGTTGATCTCTCCTTTCTAATTTCTATATTCTCAATATTCACTCTACTCCAAAATAATTTTTGGATTTGTTGAATTATTTTACTGTACGTAATTCAACAGAGAGAGTGTTTTTTTTTTTTTTGGGTTCCTTAATGGACCAATAAACAAATAAAATCTACAACTTGACCATTTGAAATAAATGTCGGTGCTAGTAAACATGCACAAGTTGCAGGGCATATACTTTTCTATATAAACTAAAATTCCATCTCGAAGACAGAATTTCAAATTAAAAAACAGTTGCATTTTTTAATCTTTGTAGTTTAGGAAGACACCAATTTAAGTAGCCAAACAACAACACGGTGTGAACGTCAAGATTAATACATAAAATCTAAGTTCATAATTTGAGGGAGAAATATGAAGATTAAATGGGTAAAAAATATCTATCGTTAATTTATTTTTGTTTAAAAAGAACAAGATTATCATCATTAAAGTATAACAATCAACAGAAAGCTGTTGAAGTGGGTAAAATAAAACTAGAGAAATAGTTCGAAATATAATCTCTCCGATCCTTATTATAAGGCATTTTGAGTTCGTCTTAGATTTAACTTAGAATGTCTTTTAATTGGAAAAAAAAAACTTAAAAATATATTTTCACATCCGTTGTGTTTTCCTAAGTATTATGAAATATTTTTAAGGTTTTTATTTCAATTAAAAAGACATTTTAAGTGAAACTAAACCTAGGATGAAATCAAAGTGCCTCATAATAAGTACGGGAAGGAGTACATACGAAGACTAAAGAAGTTGCACAAAGAAGAAGAAAGAAGAAGAAGAAGGGGAAACGTTTGTGTAATTGGGTTTTGGGTTAAAGTTTCTATTGGAGTCGAAGAAAGGATCTACCTTTTCTGGGCTTTCTCGTTCGTGTTATCTTTTGCTCCTTTGTATTTCTTTTCTTAAAATTAAATTGTGGATTTAGTCGCATCATCTGTGTCAACTATGATATTTACAATTTCTTTTCCCTTCTTAAGCAGAATAAATAACCTTCAATTGACTTCAGCTGCACTTGAATTTCCGTGGCCAAATCATTTTCAGTTACCCATTCTTGAGGAAGATTGAAAGCATTGAACATCGAATACCCCAGTGAATATTGAAATGATTCAACCAATTATTCTCATTTAGACAGCCAAAGTATATATGATCATTGAATTGTGAAAAACAAAGCTTATGCAGCATTCACTGTTGATACTAACTTCAGAAAGTTGCCTAGTCCATGGTCTCTGAGTCTCACTATATGCCATATTTCCTATCACATTTCATTATTTCAATGAAAAGGAATGAGAACCAAACAAAAAGGGAATGGAACAAAGGCGGGTTTCGTTTGACTAAAACTAGGTAACCCGCTTGGTTCTACCTGTCCTAACAACCAAATTTATGAAAACTCTCAAAAAAGTCAAATTGCTTTTTGACAAATGAAACCCAATAAACCATGAAATGGGAAGGTTGGAGAGTATCAGAAGGAACAGCATCTCCTTTTCTTTCAAGCTTGGATCCTGTATTCTAGCCTAACATGTAAGAAATGCACGCAAGTTACCTTTCTCTCAAGTCCTAACTACCTGCATCAACTGTATGAATTATGTAGTCATTATCATTTGCATATGGTCATTAAACAAGAATTTATCACACTACTTAACTCAGCTGCATCAATGTTGTCTTCCCATTGTGTACCGTCACTGCTAATTTTACAGGACTATTGAACATAAACGGGAAAACAAGTCATCTCTGATTGGGTTAGCTATTCCTAGTGTGTTCTAATACCAGGGATTTTACTGCTCTCACATTATAAGAGTCAGAAGCTGCTTAACCAAGAGTCGTGGCAATAGTTCCATCAACTTCAAACTGGTTTTCCCTCAGGTAGGAAGTAATGTTAAGTTTAAAACCCGTTCTTCATCAAAGCATTCAACTTTAAAATATATAAGCCAAAATTTTGGTATACAGACCTGTACGTTTCTTCGAGGGGGGTACAAGCTCATACATGATTGCCAATAAACAAAACTTGTAATAAATTACTCGGTACATGTTTTCCTTCGAGTCCCCAACAGAAAATATAACCCCAAAATTTTAACTGACTAAACAGGAATGAGAGATACCAGTACAAACTGAATATTAGCTGGAAGAATGATATCTAGGATGAAATCTTTGCAGAAAGGTAGAACTTAACTGCACTAGCCACCTTGATGTTACTGACAGAGCTGCTCAACAGCAGTTACGATCTGAGGAGGTTGCACAACAGTCCAGTTTTCCAATGTACCAGCATAAGGAGTTGGAACATCCTGTGAAGACAGGCAGATAATTGGTGCATCCAAATAATCATGGAAATTCTCGTTTATTGCAGCTGTCAAACTGGCTCCAATACCACCTGTTCGCATACATTCCTCAACTATAAGCACGCGATGTGTCTTCTTCACAGAATTTCCAATAGTGTAGAGATCAAATGGCTTCAAAGACCTAATATCAATGACTTCAGGATCGTAACCTTTGTTTACCAGTGTTTTGACTGCTTGCATTACATGGTACCTCATCCTAGAGTAGGTGAGGATAGTTACATGCTCACCAGGCCTTACCATCTCTGCCTCTTCCAGAGAGAGTACGTACTCTTCATCAGGAATTCTCTCCTTGAGATTGTATAGAAGCACATGCTCAAAAAGAACCACAGGATTCTCACTACGGATAGCAGCCTTCATTAGGCCCTTCGCGTTGTAAGGGGTTGAGCAAGCAACCATCTGAATCCCAGGAATTGACTGAAAGTAGGATTCAAGCCTCTGCGAGTGCTCTGCCCCAAGTTGGCGCCCAACACCTCCTGGACCTCGGATCACAGTTGGAATGGTGAATTGGCCACCAGAAGTGTAGTGAAGCATGCCACAGTTGTCAGATATCTGGTTAAAAGCCAACAGTAGAAATCCCATATTCATCCCCTCTACAACTGGTCTTAGGCCAGTCATAGCTGCCCCAACGGCCATGCCTGTGAAAGAGTTTTCGGCAATGGGTGTGTCAAGCACCCTGAGATCTCCAAATTTTTCTGCAAGCCCTTTACTGACCTTATATGAACCACCATAGTGGCCTACATCCTCACCCATAATACAGACCCGAGGATCTCTTTCCATTTCTTCCTCCAGTCCCTCTCTAAGGGCTTCAAATAGCAAGAGTTCATGTCTAGACATTTCAGAAAGGGAAAGAGGGAGTAAGACTTATCATTCTGACAATTCAAACATCAAGAGAATTGCTAATAACATCATCCATGGAAGGCATATAAATTCCTAAGTAAATGTTGGATGGCATCAAATAAATTCATTTGATTAAAAGCTTTAACTTTACCCACCATACTTCTGTAATACAATCCGAAACAAAAGAATATGGTGGAAGAGACCAGTGGAAGATGATAAGAAGTAATTTTCTTTGTTCATCTAACCAAGTATGTCAAGCAAATTCTTCTTCTAACCAAGAAAACAAGTTTCAGAGAAAACTAAAAGGTACAATCTTTACCGCTTAGTAAACAGTAGAAGTTGAAACAATCATATCCAACAGGTCAAAATAAATGCAGTCAATCCACATCAAATCAAAAATCAGTTGTTTATAGTCTATCTTTAAGTAATACATACTTTGGAATGACCAATGAAAAGAGTAATTACAGAACAGTGTGCTAAGGCTTACAAAAGATCGCAAAATACATGATTTGCAGATTTCGAAGTTTGAAATTCAGCGTACTGCTAGAAAAGTGAGGTTTACAAATCACTATTAACTTTTAACAAGGATGTTTTCTATAATTAGTTGTGAAATCCGTATGAATTCAGCTGCAAATAGCAAAAGTGCATGTCATGAATCCACGCGAAGAATTAATACAGAAAGTAATGTATTACTATGGGCTATTGCTTGAAGGTAAAATACAAAATTTCATAGGCCCTCAGTTCGACAGCAATATACAGGTTTGATTCACCTCGATGACACTTGACAGGCAAAATAAAGGAAACGCCAAACGCACAAGTTTGCACAAAACTATAATTCGTGGAGATAACAATCACAGACTAAATGTCAATAAAGTAGCAGTTAAAAAGCAAAATTAGGAATCCGCAATGGTGTAACGGCGAGATTTTCAAACAATGTGATTCATGGCAAAAGACAAAATCGAAGCTCATTAAACGCCTACATAGTAAGTGAATAAGCATAATAGGAGCAAGCTATAGCAAGACATGGAACAGTTATTGATTACCCAGGTTTTGAAGAAGTTCCAGCAGCAGCACTTTCACCCTTTGTCTGATTACAAGCAACACCAAAGAAAATGCCAAATGAGAAAACTATAGCCACTGCAAGACTAGGAATCCACTACACAAGAATCAATAGCTAACATTCGAAAGGAATTTACTCACCGCAACAGCTTTGGTGATCAATTTTCCAGCTTTACAGCTTCCATGAGTCAAACCCAAATTCGCCCTTCCATCAGATCTGATCACTAAACAAAGAAAGGGAAATCATAAGAAAACGGAATTTGCATGTCAAGAAACAATTCGAAGCATATTTTAAATCAATTTGGTTTGGAGAAAATGAATCTCGAGTATCATAGAAGCAATTGATTAGGCCACATTCAAAAGCTAAACAATGACGCATTTAGCTCAAAATTCAATCTTTTCCAATGATTTTTCATTTCCCTTTTCTCTCCACTGCCTAAAAATTTCACTACATAACTGAATTGGGTTAACAAATCTGCGATTCCACAGAAAGATGGAAACTTCAGCACTGGGAAAATTAGCTCCCCGACCCAGAAACACAAAAGTAACAAATTTTCCATTACTTTTCTCTAATCCCACAAAAACTAAACGGCCAAAATCAGTAAATAAAATACCTGGGAATGAATGCGGAGAAGGAGAAACAGAAACACCAAATTTGGAAGAATGATCCGGGAAGAGCCCAGATGGCGCTGATGCAACACCAATCGCTTGCAACATACTTGCCATTGTCGTCCTCTTTTCGTCACTGTTCAAAGGCCGCCAAAGGAGCAGAAAGTGCAGGAATAAGATAGGAAGATTTCCAGGGGTTTGATGAGAAGATTTATACAGCTAATGCTAATGAGGGCGGAGAAACTGAGAAAAGGTGGCGATCTAATTTAAGGCAGACAAAAAATTAGGCAAAAAAAATATAAAAACGGTGGCGATGAAAACAAAGAGAAGAAAGTGTGAACTTTGTCAGTCTCTTTTGCCCTGCTTCTGATCTACCTGGACCTGGACCTGGACCTGGACTGGAACTTAACTATGTTGTTTTTTGGGCAGTTTGGGGTTTTCGGTTTTATATCCAATCATTGTACGACACGTGTATGCGTGTCCGTTTAGGTACAAGTTATAATGCATAAGGTACAATGCCGCATTGCCAAACTAACTTCCAACTACCCGAACTTCAACTATTTTTTGGGGGGGAAATTGGCAAACTGATGACTTGATGGATGAAGATGAATGATTTCATAACCACACCAATGAAAGTCACAATCTAAATTGAGCAACAAAATAATCAACAATATTCATACTGCTTTACAAAATTTTTTTGTCCGGTGGAGTATGTATCACCACCATGCTCCCCTCCTATTTTTTACATGTGTAATTTTTATTGTATTTTTCTTTAATGTTCTTATATTTTTACAAATTTAATCCCTATCATTTTTTTCTCTCTCCTCAAAAAAAAAACACATCAAATCTTTAAACGAGTATATCTCTCAATCCGTGAATAATTAGAAAATGTGTTACACATGAATTTATTGGTCTCGTCGAGATCTATCCAACAAGATCCATAGTGAATTTTTTTTCGAGATTAAAAATGACTAAATTCTGATAGTCAGAATAAAGGTGAATCTCCAGTTTTACAAGAATAATTAAAAAATGTGTTACACATGAAATTTATTATTCTCATCGAGATCTATCCAACAAGATCCACAGTGAATTTTTTTTCGGGCTTAAAATGACTAAATTCTGATGGGTAGAATAAATGTGGATATCTAATTTTACAAGATGGATAGCTGAATTGTTTTAGATTGGTTATCCATTGTATTCATGCTGATTATCTAACCAGTTTGAATTGGTTATCCATTTTGTTTGTACTACTTATCAATTTGGTTTGTATGCGTATCCAACTTGTTTTTTAGTTGTAATCCAACGGGCTTGTATGCATATCTTACTTGTTTGTACTGGATATCCATTTGGTTTGTAAGCCTATCCAACTTACGTGTACTGGTTATCCAACGGATTTACATGCCTATCCAAATTGTTTGTACTGGTTATTCAATCATTTTTTTTTTTTGCTTGGAAAAAAAAATTATCCAAAACGCTAATACTGGTTATCCATTTTGTTTATGCTGCTTATCCAATCATTTTTTTTCCTTGAAACACGGTTATCCAATGTGTTCGTAGTGATTATCCATTCATTTTGTATTGGTTATCCAATTGTTTTTACTGCTTGTTCAAATAAGTTTGCATTACTTGTCCAATCTTTTTTTTTCTTCTCTCCAGAAAATACTTATCCAACATATTCGCACTGGTTATCCAACTAATTGGTACTGTTTATCCAACTGCTTGATACTGGTTATCCAACCATTTTTTTTCTCTCCTCATTTTTATGAAAATACTTGTACAGTTCGTTTGTACTGACTATTCAACCGTTTTGTATTGGTTATCCAATCGTTTTCACTGATTATCCAAACAGAATCTCTTTTCTTTTTTTGTTTCTTTTGATAAAATATTTGTCCAATGTATTTCATATTGATTATCCAACTTCTTAGTGGTGGTTATCCAACTTTATTTTTTTCTTTGTTTTTTATGAAAATGATTGTCCAATTTCTTTGTACTTGTTATCCAACTAAATTGCGCTGCTTATCCAATTATTTTCTACTGATTATCTAAATTGTTTGTACTGCTTATCTAATCGTTATTTTGCAAGAAGTGGTCGTCCAATGCGTTAATAGTGATTATCCAAGTGAATGGTACTGCTTATCTAGCCATTTCTCCTCTTCTCTAGCCGTTGGATAATCAGTATGAACACATTGGACAACTATTTTTTATATATAAAAAATAAATTAGATAACCAGTATAAACCAAATGGATAATCATTTCAAACTGGTTAGATAATTAGCGTGAACAAAATAGATAATCGGTAAGAACATATTGGACAATGATTTTCTAAAAAAAAAATAAATGGATAACCAGTACAAACAAAATGGATAACCAGTTCAAACTGGTTGGATAATGAGCACGAACACAATGGATAACCAATCTAAAATAATTTGGTTATCCATTTTTCTAAACTAGATATCCATACAAATTTCTTTATTTCTATCCATCAAAATTTAGTCATTTTTAAGTTCGAAAAAATATTCGATATAGATCTCATTGGATAGATCTCGACGAATACAAGAAATTTCATATGTAACATGTTTTCTAATTCTTCACGAATTTAGCGACGTGCTCGTTTGAAGATTAGAAATGTTTTTTGTAGGAGAGAAAAAAAAGTAACAGGGACTAAATTTGCAAAATATAGAAAGAGTTAAGAAAAAAATACAATAAAGACTAGTGGTGCAAAAAATAGAAGAGGGTGCACATGCTCCCGAATATACTGGATAAATTACCATCTGGTGTCCATTTTCTCGACTTATTATTATTTATTTTTCATATTTACAACATGTCTATCGTTATGAACAGTGATTAAATTATAAGTACCTTGATAAATGAGTAATAAATTTAATTCTATGATAACATATGGTGGGTGTGAGCTTGATTTTATTTCTGGAAAAGAAAAAAAAAATAAAATAGAACGGAAAAAAGAATCATCTAAAGTCCTCAAAAAAAAGTGAAAGAACGGCAGTAGTATGGTTAATCCTAATAATAGAATGAGAGTAATATGATCATGATAGTGTAGCAACCGAACAAATACTTGGAAATAAAAAGAATACTCCGTTGTACCTCTATTGTAAAATATTTTGATTTTTCTTAAAAATTGTCTCTTAATTATTTAAAATATTCTTAAAATTTCATTTTTAATTGAAAAAAAAAACAATAAATGAAATTTAGGTTAAGTCTAAATAATTTATAATAAGGACAGGGGAGTACTTAATACAGGCTGTTAGCTCCAAATATACAGGCTGTTAGCTCCAAATATAATTTTAGCTAGCTGCTAGAATATCATCAGCCAAGTCGATGATATTAGGTTTGTATATCATCAGGTTTGTATATCATTAGGTTTGTATATCATCAGCCAAGTCGATATCGACGTATTCATGTTCTGCCATCAAGGTTGTAATAATGTCAAAACCACTCTCTGAATCCAGGAATTAGTTGCAACATCAATAATTAACTATCTTGCTTCCACAACGATGTTTAACGACATTATGGAAGCTGTTGCCATCATAATGTTTGGCCAGTCGTGGTAAACTGTATATACATAATTAATGCAATAATTTGGAAACCACAAAAAAAAAAAAAAAAATCTCTAAATTTTCAATTTATAACCAGTGTAGTTGGATTGCGGTTGCAAAAATGTGAATTTAGGATATGCTTGTTTTATTTTTTTAGTGTGTATTTTCAGAATTTTAAGTTTTTGTATCTTACTATAAAAAGCTAGAGGGTAGGCGTGGGAGGGTTGGGGGATGGTTATTAGGGGGCCATCCAAACCAAAAAGAAAAAAAAACAAACAAAAAAAAAACCCTAGAGGGTATAATGAAGGTAACAATTGAAAGAAAAGAAGCGAAAACGAAAGAGATTCACAAGGTATTGAAAACAAAAAAAAACTTTCGCAGCTAATTACAATATGATTAATCGATTATCATCAAGAATTGAAAGGGCGAGTAAGCTCAATAAAAATTTATACTTCTTCGGATTCAAACTTTCCAGTCCTCAAGCTAAAGCATCTTACCTTCAAAGAATACAAAAATTGATCACTTCCATAGCATACTATTATCGATGGCTACAAGCAATTACACCGGTACACAGTAACATAAGAACTCCAACCAGAGGGCAAAGTTCGAAGACACTCGTACAAACTGTAAAAAGATATATTAAATGCAAGTCTCTTCTACCAAAAATCAAAAACCCCTAAGAACCTGCATTGCAGTAAAGTTTAGATCCAAAGTGAGTTACAAAAACAATGAGACCAGCTCTTAAAAGCTTACCATAATAAAGCACACCAAATGGAACTATCTACTATTTCTATAATATCAAAAATACAAGTTTTCCAGAAGATGTACCTTAGCAATGAAAAGCATGCTGTAACAAAAATTTAATCTTCTTCCATCGGCACGTCTGGTATGTCAAATCTATCTTCTTCAATTGCTTTATTTATCACATACGCTGGAGTAGGTAAGAGAAAATTAAGGAGCTAACTTTGTCAAATTGAAAGAGCACAACCCACGTCGAATTAACAAACTAAATAAGTTTTATCTTGCTAGCAAAACAAAATTCCTCACTGACCCCCTGAATTATTTCTATCAGCGAAAACATCTCATTTCTAAGTTCTTTTTGCTTTGATAAGAAAAGGCACTAATCTCAACAACAAAAAAAAGGATATAGATAGACATAAGATCATCCTCCTTCTCCCCACGGTTACGGCTATTATTCAGCTCCCTCAGTATTTCAGGTGTAACCTGCATTTTAGGAGGCAAGTATATCAAGCTACATTGAGCTGTGGGGAAGATATAACATAAATCTACACCTTCATTAACATACCAAATAATGTCTTTGATTTTTGACAAGTGTATGGAGGTTATCTTTATCCTCTTTCGTAAGCTCATTTTTGTACCTGCAGATTAGAGATATTAAAACAAAATTACACTGTTAAGAGACATGTAACTGCATAATAGGACAATTAATACACGACACAGTTGGCATGGATACAAGAACAAAATTCAAAATAATGCTACACAATTGACCAAGCATGCCTCTCAGTCCGAAAGACAGGCGTGCAGTCATCGTGACCTATAAACCGCCAAAAGTTTGCAACAGCATCTAATCACAGGACATAGTGGCTCTAAAGTTTTCATGGTATTTTTACCTTGTAAGCTACGAATACATCAAAACAAAGGTTCAGAAAACAAGGGGCCAAATTAGTATGTTGTTGATTTGAATGATTACCATGATGAGAAAAACAGACTATGATGAAGTATTCCAGAAGCATCAACAGAAATGGATGGGTTACAAGGAATGGACAAAAAGCTTATGCAAACCAATAAATTCAATGGATGCAAAAGAACAATTTTAGTGGTCTCCTCAAGCTAATACTTTATTAGACTGGTTAAAGGCAGTTTATCATCTTTCCAGTTCCACAGACCTCAAAATGTAAACACCAGTGTCTAAGGGCGGACGGCTAAAATGCAGAAGATATGAGAAACTGCAAGGACTAAATTGGGGAAATAAAACCAAAAGAAACGCCAACAGACCTCTGAACAAAAGCAAGCAGTGATTGATGCCAAATGACGGGCATTGTCCTCGAATCTTCCAAGAATCTCATAAAATGAGCAACCATTGCATCAAGAACTCGGTATGGCAGAGCATATTTCTTCTCAATTAGTAACTTTATGAAGTAACTGCAAGAAAACATTCATAACTACTGTCAAACAAATCCATCACATGAGCTAATTCACAAGCCGGAAGATCACAAGTAAACTAATAAGAACAACTCTGATTTCCATTTGAGAGAGACTTCTCTTCATTATAGTTAAAAAGAGAGAGGAAGTTAGAGGAAGAGGTCGAAGGGTTGATAACTGAAGGACCGCAGCCAGAGGCATCAATGGAGTAAGTAATTTAAGGTAAATACTTTCTTAAAAAATACTCTGGTTAGGTTCTTTAAGATTAGTAGAGAAAGGAATGCTGAGGAATTGTTTAATAGTCCTCTCAACTGATGAAATAGATAGTGGAATGAATAGAAAAAGCTCAAATAGTGAGGGAGCAACATAAGAGGGACTAAATACCTTGTTGTGCCGCAATACTCCATCTCTGCCATCTTCAATAATGCTACACTGCAAGAATTTTGCAACAACAGTTGCACAAATGCGTCAGAACAAACAACAAGAAATAATAGTGTTAGGTACTAAATTCACGAAGCATGGATGTTTCCAACAGAGAGTTCAAATCAGTACAAAAGCAGATATCCACACACACTAATGTATTGGTTAAATACAGTTAAGTGACTAACACTAGCAGTAGTTTCTTAATGTAAGCAAGGGGCGACACTATCGTGCCCTTTTCATTGTTTTGTCAATATAGTTTTGCTTAAAAGGATTATTGAGAAAAGAGTTCAGAAAAATCCCATATAAAATAAAGAAGTGAAAAGGCTTGGTTTTCCTCCACATAGTGGACCCTTGAACTGGGTTTGACGATGACGTACATACCTAGAATGAAGAGGAGGAATTGAGACCTTTTCAAGAATACTCCCAATTATAACAGCTTCCCTCAAATTGCATGTCCTTGACTGAAGATAACAAATAAAATGTTTGCTTAATGAAAGTCTCCAGCAAACTATTGGGAATCAAAAAGTAGAGAACCATATAAAAAAGTCTACCTCACAAAGGGGAAACAAGATGCCCTTATTGAAGGCAGCAGGTTTATACAGGGACTTCTTCAAAGATTGATACAAGGCAAAATGCAATCTTTTATTTTTCCGGATATCTTCTCTGACACGTGGCAAAAGAACAAGCTTATAAAAGCGTTCTGCTTTTTTCACACCTAAATTGGAAGCGAAAATTCTTGTTGCTTGGTACATGGCATTCGGCGACCACTTCTCAGGCTCAGTTAGATACAAGACTTCCTCCCAAAATTGAAGAGATGGAATGTGTTTGAAAGCCTTAGGCATCTTTCCTGAAGTATATTTGCTAAGAAGCTTTCCAACACTGCATACAATTAATCAGAATATCAAAATTTTAGGAAGATCACATACTAAAAAAACAGAACCAGCTTATCAATAAAGTTTGGTACCTCTTATATAGCTCTATGATTGAATTATCCATTTGAGGCATGGGTCGTGCTTCTGCAAGTACTCGCATGAAGTTAGAGATGGATGAAATACCATCCATCGTGTCTCTCACAATCTAATGGTTCAGATGTAAAAAACAACTGAACTCCCAACTGAAAGCCACGCTTCTAACAAACATCCAAAAAAGCAGAACAAGAAGGCCATGATTCAATACGGAAGTAAGAAATAAACCTGAAGAAACTTGAGCATCTTTTTCTTTGATCCTCTCAACAATGATATCAGCTAATGTCCGCTGGGGACGACTATCAGTTGACAGAAACGCTGCAAGTAGCTTCTCATCATCCTCGTCCATTTGATCCTGTTGAACTGAGCAAATTAAGAATGGCAGAACATGATGCAAGACAAAAACCACCAACATCAAGTTATAACAAGTTCATTCAAGCATCCAGCTTCTTTGTCAACCATGAGTGCTCAATGCTGTCATAGAATCTAATGCTACTAAGGTGGTACAAAATGCAGAAATCTCAGTAGACCTAAGTACCCAACACTTGAATTTTTCTCACGATTAGGTTAGAATCATTAAACATGGACACTGTTCATTAAATTTACCCCCGCATTTCAAATCCCAGCACACAATAAAAGAATTGCTCGTTTCTTGGTTACATTCAGAGAATACAAAAGCATTACTACCTCCAATTCACCAAACTGGCTCTCAGTTTCACCAAATCCCGTGAAATCGTCAATTTCATCATCTTCTTCCGTATCAGCACCCGTCTTCATGGGCTGTTCCAATAACACCAGACTAGGATTTTGCTCTCGGGTCTCTTCTTCCTCAATCTCCTTCTGCTGAAGTTTAGCCTGCTTCAAAATCTTGCCGCTGATTCCCGGCGATATAACCTTGCAAAAATCTAACAATTAAGCACAGAAACAACCTCGAGTGAAAGGAGTGATAAAGTAACAAAAGAACGAAATAGAGTTTTGTACCTGCTCTTGTTGCTGGTGGAGTTTGGGAGGCTTTGGGCGTTTCTTGGCGGAGGCGGTGGACTTGGAATCGCCGTCATCAAGGAAAGGCTCTGGGTTCGTAATTCGGTTGCGCTTCTTCGCCATTGGTACCGGATGGAATCAACGGCGGCAGTGGCTGAGGAGGAGGAGGAAGAGGAGATGAGCGGTGAATTTCCCAAATTATTTCTCGGTTGTAGATAAACCCTAGTTGTACTACTAAGCCGAATTAGGTGTTTTCATGAAAGACGCCCAATTTTTCCCTTAAACCCTGTTGTCATCAGAAAGGAAAAGTTATATTTACATTTTTATTTTATTTTTAATGCAGCATACTTGTCACTTGATTTGTAGTAGAATAAATATAATTTAGAATACTACTCCCTCTATCCCCACCAAATAATTCACATTGAATTTTACTACGTTCCTATGTTTTATGTATCTATATCTATCTATCTATCTATCTATCCATTGATATACTATATTTAGGCAAAAACCAGAGAGAGAAATCTAAAAATATGAAGCACATGCCCCATAAGATTTTATCTTATGTGGCAATTTTCCAAATTTTTGATGTATAAAACAAATAAAAAATACCCAAGACGTACATATACCCCGTTGTTCTGTTGGAGGAAAGGTTTCTTATCAGAATTTGAATTCAATTAGTAATCTCATCTCACTTTAAGGATATCAAATCTCAACCGATATTTGGGATAACGTTTGGGACAACGTTAATATGTAGGATATCAATTCTCATTTTTAAGATGTAGGGATTCAATTAGTAAATCACAACTAAATTGGGATAACTTTTCAGAATTTATTTTGTAGATTTTCATTAATAAAATTCCTATCACATGTAAAAGAACTATGAATCTAGAGGATACATCGATCAATCAATTGTGCGGAGCTATGGGGTTGTATGAAAGGTATTTTACAATATAAAATTTAGGAAAAGGAAAAGTAATCGCTAAAGTTGACGGTGAACCTGGTGAACGTAGGAGAGAAACAGCCGAATGCTCACTCAGGATTAGAGAGTAGAATCCAAGAACTCTCACAACAGAATTGAACTGTATAACTTTTCATGTGCCTGGAGAAGCAAATAAGGGTCGAACTTCATAAATGTACAATTTCTCCATGGTGGACGTTGCAAAATTTATTTTTCTTAAAAATCATTGAAATTTTAATTTTTATACAATTTAATTTATAATTAATTGTGCATAAAACTTTCTTCAAAAAAATTGTGCATAGAGCTAGCAATAAATAATTTGAGAAATAAAATGCTGAAAAAGTGCAGCGTTAGATTTTATTTTATCGAGAGTAAAATTCTCATTTATAGAAGTGGGACGTTTGGCCATGTTCAATATTTATCTAAATTCCTAATCCATGAACCTTCATGTTATTAAAACATCATGTTATTATAAAAAAGTACAACGGATATAATTCCTTTTTCAAATTAAAGGATTATCATTTTAATAAAATATGCAAAATATAGTAGGACTTATTTAATTTTTAGAATGATGAGTTTGAAACCCACTCTTCTGCTAATGAGCGGGTTGGCTTAGATACTGAACAACCATCTCTTTCATAAGTTAAACTAAATGTGGAGAAAATTGATACAAGATTAAGACAAAAATAATTAAATAATAATTACAAAATAACTAAACAAAATAAAACTATAGCTAAAATAACTATACGACCAAACTTTGAATTTTTTTAATTTTAAAAATCAAACTTTACTCGGACAAAAAAATGAGTAGGATGGCTTTGACATTAGTGAAATGACCAAAAAGATACTAATCTGGAAAAAAACAGTTGAATGATATTCTTTGAAATGTAAAAAGATACTTCAACCCTTACATTTAAATAAAATATTTTTGGCAACAGGTAAGTTAAAGTAAAATTAAATTTTTAGATAGATAATGAGAAACAACTAAATCAAACGAATAAATGGGTTAAAAAATAAAAAATAAAATAAGGTAAAAATGCATCGTATTTTAAAACGATAAGAATAAGATAAAAGCACTGAAAATATGAATCACTTCAAGACAAGGAATAAGGTCCTGATATGCATTGAAAATAGTGATTTCAATTCAAAGATTAAGAATGTAGTCTGCAAAGAAGTATTACAGGATATATAATCAATCAATTTGAAGTTCTTTTTTTTCGTCTTTTTATATTATTTTTTATGAAATCCTTAACAACCCTCTTTGTGTTAAATAACTTATCATTGTATTCATTTGGTAAAGTATCGTTGATGTTTGTGTTTTATACTTTCAATGAAGTCATTATATAGTTTATAATAATACAAAATCTATAAAAAAATATTAATATTTTTTACTTCACTGATGTTGTAATGTCTATATGTGTATGTCCTCCCCGTCCATCGGACGGGTCTAACACCTAGTGTCTCTTTTATACACAACTATTATAAAGACATAATGATTAAATCTATCATTTTTAAGTGTATTGTCTTTTTTATCACTGATAAAAAATATTGGAACTCTACAAAAATTTGAAATTAGAATGTAAAAAATAAACAGTTGTCATCAGTGTATGTTATTAAAATTAAAGAAAGATAAGAGTGAAATTGAAAAAATTGTACAATATTCAACATTGCATTGGAAATGAAGTGTGGAAGATAGAATAAATTTTTGTTCACCCTAATGTGACACATAAAAAAATGGTAGCAGTAAGATTTATACTGTTTTTAATATAAATTTGAAAACTCATACATTTATAGTTCGATTTCAAGTTTTTAAATAATTACAACACTATTTGAAAAGTAGTAATTTAGGTTGTAAATTGTAATCTTATAGTAACATAAATAATACTACCTCCGTATCAAAAAAATAGCCCAGTTTGAGTTTCGAGATTTGTACTAGTTTTAATACAAATTCGAAAACTCAATATGGACTATTTTTACAAGACAGAGCGAGTAATTATTGAATTTAATATCATGATATGGATTCATCAAAAAACTATTTCGATTTTGAACCAAAAAAAAAAAAAAACTGTGTGATTAGAAAGCTTTTCATATTTTTTTTTTTCGAAAAAAAGGGGTTTTAGTTTTTCAAGTCACTAACTTTAGTTTTTTCAGCCACAAAAAAAATGAAAACTAGAAAAAAAAAAACGACCGACCGGACATTGAAACCGTCCCGAGTTAACCCGGGACGGTTTCATTGCACGGTCAGTCGACCGAAACTGTCCCGAGTTAACTCGCGACGGCCAATGAATCCATTCGGGGGGGCAAGTGGGCGGGCGGTCCACCCGTCCCGAGTTAACTCAGGACGGTTTCATTGCCCGGTCAGTCCCGATTCGGTCCAATATAGTAAACCGGTCAGGTCAGACTCATTTTTTAAAATTTTTAGATTTTTTTTTGTTTTTTTTGTAATTAAAAAATATCAATATTTGTTATTTAAAAAAATCTAAAAATTAAAAAAATATCAATCGCACTCATTGCTATTTTTTAATTTCTATATTTTTTGTTTTTTTTGTAATTAGTTAATCTAGTTTTTAGGTCATTAAAATCTTTATTCATTAAATTTATGAATAATTTATTATTTGAGTTATATTAAGTACCACTAATCTTTATATTACAAAAAATAGTTAAATCTGTTACTACATATTTGTAACAATCTTTGTAGTACAATTATTATTTTTTATTATAAATGTATAGTTATTATTTTTAACTAAAAATTATCTTAAAAAATAATGATTGAAGCAAAATTTAATATTTTAATAGCAATTCAAATAAATTAACTTAACGAGTAATCTTAAAATTTTTTTTAACTAAAAATTAATTACTTGTTTATTTTCAAATCTTCTATATATATATATATACTATACTAAGGCAAAAACCAGAGAGAGAAATCTAAAGTCAAGAAGCACATGCCACATAAGATTTTATCCTATGTGGCATTTTCTTAATTTTCTAGCTATAAAAATGTACAAAACAAAACAATAAAAACTACAAAAAAACGCAACTGAAAAAATTCAAATCCTATATTGATTCGACCAAATCCCTGCAAATTCGATGGATGGATCTCTTCCTCCTAAAACAAAAAACTCGACTGAAAAAGAATTTTATATTAATAATTTATTAAAATAATTAAAGAAGTTAGGCCAACCTGAAACTTCTATAATTTAGCTTCAAATGTGGAATTGAGTTAAAATACTATGGTGATGGGTTGATGTAGGGGGGCTAAGAATGGCTCTGACAAATAATAAAAATGCACAAAACAAAACAATAAAACCAAAAAAAAAAAACGCAACTGAAAAAATCCAAATCCTATATTGATTCGACCAAATCCATGATTCCTTTTCTTCAGATGATTCTCAGAGAGCAATTACTTTTTCTTTTTTTTTTAGGGGTTAGGGCTACGCAAGTTCCTGATCGGAATAAATTTAATTTCATCAAACAGTTAATAATATATAAGAGCGATGGCTTTAACTCCAAGCAATCCGACCCATTTTCTGTTGGGCCTCCAACACACTTCTTCTTTTCTTGTTAAGTGTTGCAGATAGCAGCTTCCAAATCTTATTTTCTTTCTTACTAATAGAAAAAATAATATGATTATTTTTTTTTGTAATTAAAAAATATCAATATTTGTTATTTAAAATAATCTAAAAATTAAAAAACTATCAATCAGACTCATTGCTATTTTTTAATTTCTATATTTTTTGTTTTTTTTGTAATTAGTTAATCTAGTTTTTAGGTCATTAAAATCTTTATTCATTAAATTCATGAATAATTTATTATTTGAGTTATATTAAGTACCACTATCTTTATAGTACAAAAAATAGTTAAATCTGTTACTACATATTTGTAACAATCTTTGTAGTACAATTATTATTTTTTATTATAAATGTATAGTTATTATTTTTAACTAAAAATTATCTTAAAAAATAATGATTGAAGCAAAATTTAATAGTTTAATATCAATTCAAATAAATTAACTTAACGAATAATCTTAAATTTTTTTTCATCTAAAAATTAATTACTTGTTTATTTTCAAATCTTCTATATATATATATATATATATATATATATACTATACTAAGGCAAAAACCAGAGAGAGGACTCTAAAGTCAAGAAGCACATGCCATATAAG